AAGGGAACTCATCTTGTTCTTACGTTCACGATGTAGTAGTCCACTTGCTTTTTATGGAACCCACGCTACCTGAGAGCAGCTCTTAAAACAGTTAAAAAAATTTAGCCGGTCTAAACCTGCGTTGTTAGGACAAGCTCTGAGCTAGCATTGTTCACTGATAAACAGATGCGTGTACTTTCTAGGCGATGCACAGCTATTTGAGACATAGATTCAAGCTCTTCATTATCCATTCGGAATTTGCCAGCCCATAGAAGCGAAAACTGACAGGGATTTATTAATCTGACCAACGAAATGGCCGGACAAAACGAACCGATATATAATTAGATGGGTTTTATCACATCATAAGTGGAATAATGGGTTTTCATTTGTCAAGGCTATGTTTATCCGGACTAAATGTGGTGCAGTACGCTTTAGGTAGAATGCGCTCAAGTACCATCACTGGATAGTCTGTCTGATAAATTTTGTGATTTCTTCATTTAATATCTTGAGTTGGTACACCACAACTGTACTTTTTAAATAGGTATTATCTAATACCTATATAACCTGATTTATGCACATTCCATTCCTTCCAGACTCAAGGGACATTTTCCAGTTAAGGGAATCGGGCATAACTGGCTTAATCAGGCCAAAGCCAATGTCAAAGTTAATTTTATTTATATGCTTAAAGACAGATAGTTTTATACGATTTTTGGAGTGAAAAGGCAATAAGATAACCTTATCTTCTTCACGACAACTTTGCTAGCATTAGCATAGTCGTTAGAGTGACAGCTCACTCGTTTTGTATCGCTCGCCAAACTATTTTTGCTGGACATCGCAGGCATCAGATCAGAAAAGTGTACTATTTAATATCATTTAACGATCAACGCTTTTCTAAAGCGCCATTCTTAAAAGGAGGTAAATTGTCGCTCCGGATGAAACAGATCTTTTGGGTTTTTGATTGTTTAGACAATGAACTGTTGACAGAGCGATTGGTTAGACACGAATTGGGATCACATTCTACTTTTAGCCTTCGAGTGAACATTTGAAAAAAATGTCTATGTTAAAAACAAGTCACGTTCGTAACAGAATCTAAATGGTACAAGTGTGCTACAAGCATCTCCTGTAGGCAAGGTTTCTGCCATACAGATCTTAGCAAAGAAGGAACTTATCGGATACTTCGTTTAGGTAAAAACAAATAAATAGCTTTTATATCATTTGGGGTTCTTTCAGAAAGTCAGTAATCATTTAATATTATCTTAAGAAACGTTGGTGGATCATACGTTTATATAAGAGAGTACGAATACAATAGCAAACCATCAAATCAATGGGACTTCGATAAATGCCGATAAGACGTTTGTTTACTATTCACTTGCACATGACATTGGAATAGTAGTTGGCAAGAGCCTTACCTCACTTCACTTCACTCTCTGCGCCCTCGCTCCTGAAAAAGAAGTAATATGTTGGAAAGTTAACATTCTTAGAGGCGAACCTTGTTCCACTAAATAGAACCGGACGTAATTGCACAGTTACAATTTAGGACTGCACAAAAGCGGTGACTAGATATTGTCATGCAGTTTCCCTTTTACCAATAATCTGGGGCCTTTGCAGATCGTAGTGTAACAACTTATGATATGCTGCTTTTTACAGGGCTATTTACGTAGGCAAATGTCACACCGGCAAAGTTGTTCTGAAGTTTAAACGCTGAATCCTAAAGTGTAATAGCAATGGTAACATTCAAGAATAATACGCTTTTCAATTATAATATGCCTATTGTTATTAGATCCCTACCACACTAGGGTCTATTGGAGCTGCCCCGAGCCGTTGTTTGTAATTATGGTCTACCAAAACAAACAAACGAAACTAAAAATAGGAAGAAATATATATATATATATATATATACACTGGTTATAGTAAAAATGCTTTAGGTGTGGGCTTGATTAGCTGGATGAAAAAACGTTTGTACAAGATATCCACTAGGCTTTTACCGACGGGAGAGAGTAGATGGGGCGCCTAAAAGCCTAACCCTCTTACCTCATTACCAAAATTACTTTAGCTCCTTCATGTGCCCCTGCCTTAGAAAACAATCTCGGGTCCGCTGTATCGCTAGCGAACTAAGCCAAACTAAGGAAATGAGCAAGCTTGCAAATCATACATCTGATCAATCCAATGGAGTTCGAGACCTCAGGTAAGACGGATCTCCTGATCCTTAATACACTAAAATAAGTGGGTCAGAGATTTGTTACAGCTACGAGGAATGAATAACAAGGTTATTCATTTATCACAACAATTATCACGTACAGGGAGGAAACTTCCAGCTGTTCCAGATCCATCTGGGCATAGGGAGAATGATCAAGCCTAAAGAAGGCCTTGCTTTCAAGTTTGTTCATTAGTGTAGCGTAAAAATAAGCATAGATAGTAGTTAAAGTATGCTGTACGTAGCGTCGAAGTAGTGACTTTGGAGGGATAGCTTGTCACATATTATCTCGTATAGGCGATGCCACACCGTTAGCTCACACACGACGGTTATGGGTCACGAAAGCCACATGCGAAAAGACGAAATCAACAAGCTGCAAAACGAGTGACGACGTTAGTGGAATTACCCTGTTATAGTCCATGATAACCTTGGTTCCGTGTAAAATAAACCTATGCCAGCCATCTCGTCTCCCCATTTACGTGGTGTAGCGCAATAAGTAACCGCGGTCGCGGTTTTTATGCCAAAAAAAGACGAGAGCTGTATTTAGGGAAAGGACGTCCCCCAGATAACATTTTTCACCCTCCCTGTGATGGGAGTTATAACGGACCTTGTGCTAGGAGGTACATTTTAAGCGATTAAGACCGATTGGTCAGGGTTGCAAATTACTCCTACCAACAATATGACATTTTACACGAATCGTTTAAGCCTTTGTTTTGCCTAGTCTTTGGCTAACTATTAAAAGTGAGATTTAGATGCTCCATGTATAACAGTGTTGTAGGCATACATATTTACTGAACTCCTGAAACTTCCTAAAAATCGGAAGCAGCCACAGGAGGCAAGACGAGAGTGGAATTTCCTTATCTCCCTAAGGGCACTCTGTTGTTTGTATTATCAAAAAGGTTTATATCTTATGTTACCATCGTTAAAAGTTTGTGTATCACTAAGTGCAACATGTTAGCGTTCAGCGATATTATACCTCTCGCGGTATCGAAAGTCCAGGTACAGAAATTAATTAATACTGCAATATAGAAACGTGTTAGCTTGCAAAGCAGGTTGAATTTCTTCCAGTACGACAAAGCCAACATCCAGAATTGAGTGGCCACTGTGTAAGCCATACGTTCCGCACGGGATGGTCTTTCGTGGTGGCAAAGTTTCCACCGGCCTCTAAGTCAGAATAGAAGATAGAAATTTGTGCTCTTTTTAACAGTACTGTTTCATGGACACGTTGTCGTTAACTTACCTTTGCCTCTGGAAATTATTCCAGATTAGATATTCCAGATAAAAGATTAGAATAATCAGCCGGGACTCACCGAGGATCTTCCCAGGCTGTAGGTGTAACGCAGAGTTATCTCTGACGGTTTATTCCGTTTTTCTTAGTTAGTCGAAACCTCTTTGGTGTAATGACTACAAATGTAGATATACATATTTTTAAAGTGACTGCTTTAAACGAAATTGTTAGAACGATTCATTGCAGAATACAGTCCCACAAAATGCAATGCGTTTTGCCGACCATTACATATGATACTGCAAATGTTGCTGGACGAAGACTCGCCATGGCGGAATCATCAAGGTTGACCCATTACATGAGTTTAATGACTATATCTGGGCTCCATGTTGTAATTGGAAGCGAACGGTGCAACATTCCACATAGACGGAAGGAGGCTTACGTGAGCTTGAATTGTATCTCGTCGTAGTGATACAGGGATGGGCCATTTTGTATCTCTAGTTCTCACTTATCCTGAATAAGCTGTTATTGGCAGCGTGTGACACATCGCTTTGACACAGATCGAGAATAAAGATATCGATGAACCCTGGTATCCTTGGACGTAGCGTTGAGAGTATCGTCAGAGAACCTGCGCCGACCGCATAACGTTTAGGCTGATCGATAGCCTTGAGGACAGCCATTACTAAAAAAATAAATGGAACCTGGAAGCAACAACAGAGCTTTTCTATCGTAGTGGTAATGCTTTATTTATCCATCAATCAGACATGAAGTTATTATTGTAACATTCTTAATTCTGTTTCTAAAAAAACAGAAGCCCTTTCATTAGTCCGGCGCTTACCGACGGTTTGCTGAGTTCTACATGAACGCTAAAGAATATATTAGAACTATAGAAAGCGTATTATAACAAATTTATCGCTAAAGTTAACTATGGTTTCATGTTAGTATGAAGCAGGATGACCTGACGATTGTTTGTCAAGCCTTTTCCTTTGACTAACCTAATTCATTCGATGAAACTGAAACAAATTAGACTCTCTGGTTAGCTATCTCATTCATAGAAAGCAGTTTCTAATTAACCAGATCTTCGCTGCCCTACTAAACAAAAAGCATAACATTTTTTGGATAAGGGTTGGGTTAGATCCTGAGCCTTTGCTGTTCTTCTAGAGCCACCCACAACGATCTTAACATACAAACATCATTTCTCATCACCGATGATAACTTTGTGGAAAAATCGGCCTCATGACGGTAGATATCGGGCGAGATATTAAAATTCTTCGCCAAGCAATAGATGCTTGTTGAATTCGCGAAGTGTCGATATAAACCCAAGGGACTTGAAATAATTCACGACGATCGTATTTCTGCAGCAAGTATTTTCGACCAACTCCGGACTTTTTTTTATCTATCAGAACTATCTTCAAATGATCGTCATCAAATTCTCATAATCGGCTAGAGGGCAAGGCATCCTTTAAATCCCCTAATACGGTTTTTAAACTTGATAGGCAACTTTGGAGCAGTCTCTTAAACGTTCATGTTTTTACCGTAGAGAAAACAAATATTCCGAACTGTTTCGGCAGCATTTTAGGTTGAAAGTACACTCTTTTTTTATTTATTTATTTATTTTTTTTATTTCGAACACCTTTTCGAGTTGAAATTACACTTAAAACCATCACAGCGTAATAATAGAGTAATAGATAATAGAACGGTACATCAGAAGTAAGCAATAACTAACGAAAAGTGAGAAGAAGAACTATTAAAAGAGCGCGGGAACTTTTTTACGTTTTATATATATATATCATAGAGGTACCATATAGATCGCTTAAATATAGTTCTACTTAACTATGCACACACTATAAGTATGTAAAATTAGGTGAGTAAAATTTATTCACACAAAGTAATATTTATACAAAGACTGTCACATAACAGTGTTTCATGCAAACATGTTCTTGCAGGTAATTCTGACAATAATATATTTAGAATTATTTAAGGCTCTAGGTTTCTATAAATGAAATATAGGCAGCATATGCCAAATATATAGAGCAGTCGGTCATGAGATTAAAGCCTTACTACGCCCCCTCAGTTTAGGAGACGATTGGATGCCATTTTTTTGTCTACCATAAAGGTTATACGAAAAAGAAGAAGAAAAGATTCGAGCTGAAAAGAAAATCATTTTCTACCAATGTGCGTTACAGGCGTTGGTCACTGGGTCGCATAGACAGCAAGACTGGTAAGAAGAGTATTATTTACTTATATAAATTCAACGCAAAAAAGGTATAGGAGCAGCCAGGTAACACGGCAAAACGCTTTTGCTATATTACCAGGCTGCAAGCTGTAAGCTTTGATACAATTCGGTATAGAGAGATTGCCTGAAAGGGAAGCAGCTAATTATTTACTAGTAAATCAAAAGGCTTTCTTCATTTAATTCATAACCTTTCATAGGTAGCTGCTCCTTTCCTAAACGAAAAGGGCATTAACATCAAATCTACATATATCTTTGAATGATTGACGTTGTCATTCAGACAATTGTTTTATGCCCTTAAAAACTAAAAAAAAAAAAAATGTTTAAAAATCACTACATTAAAAATATAAGCTTTTTAGCTTATATTTATCTGTGTACTGTATAGTACAGGAAATGGTCTCGAAACACTGTTGTTGCCACAAGATATTATGTATAATAAATATAATTACTGATAAATGAACACGGGTGACAGGTTTCATTAGCCAGAGTATACTTGCCGACAATACTAGTTTAGTCTAAAAGGAACATATAATATTAAGTTGAAAATGACGAGTCTACAACAATGTATTTTTATATTTATAAATACAAAAAAAATGATGATATTGATGAAAATGTGTGAGGTACGGATTGTTACAAATACCTTTGGACTTAAAATAAGTGTGGTCCGATCCTTCACCACAAGGTCGCTGCCTAGAACAATCATCATAGTTGCATTTGGTTTAACACATCAATGAGATTAGCTAAGTGGTTTCGACAAATCTGTAAAATCTCACGTTTGTAACGAGTGAGCGTAGGATACCAGGTGTGCACGCGTGAAGAAAAAAGAAGATCAATATAAAATAGCTTGAGGCACCTGTTTCGAATCAGCTCATCAACGAACAGGTCATTTGTCTTTGGTGATGCGTGTTCTTCTCCAAAGTTTTTACCAAACGAATATAGTGCCGAATCTTTTGCTATTTTTTGAGATCTTATAGTACTTTTATTTGATACGATCTTATTTTATGGTAGGAGTGCGAATTGGGCCTCAATTTAGCTTGGGAGTTAATATTGGTCCATACATGTCCCAATACTTTGTACTAGAGCGAAAGATGCAGCGCACTTTTAGGCTGATACATCGTCATACGTTCTATTTTGAAACTGATGCAATTGTATTTTGTTTACTGGTCTGTTGACAGGGCTATGAAATTGAATCCCAAGTAACAGCATAAAGTGTGTTGCGTATCCTTTGACATCAAACATTTTGGCCTGAAGATACAAACACAATAGGACAGGCTTTGAGGGTTAATCCTTGTGGGACAACGAAACATCCCCATATATCTTTTATAGTCAAGGAGCCTAACCTGAATCAGCTAATAAAGGAACTTGCTTTTGTCCACTAATAGCAACTGCTTATTACCAATCGAGTAATTTATAAGTATGCCTTTGTGGCTCCAATTAACACGAATTGACTAAAGAAAAATTCGCTTCTAATTAACCCACTGAACTAAAAATATCTGCATATTATAGAAAACGAATTCTCTGTGTAGACGCCGATGACTCGCATGATTTTTCAGTCTCTTTATTTTAAAACAACTCTCCTATGTGGCCCTTACAAACACTACGTAGCTTATGTTGCTCATGATAATGAAACAGCCTAACGAGTATTTTTTTAACCTAAACAAAGACTAGGCAAAAACATACCAAAAAAAAAAATAGAGACCCACTGGTTCACGGCTGAAAACGCTCTTTTCCTGGAATACTATTGCCCGAAAATGGTTCAATGAGACTGTGGCAGACCTGCACCACCGGTTGTGTCTTCCTATGCTCGTCTCCAGCCCTGTCGCGACACGTTTCTCACTACAGCGTGAACGATCACCACTAACCTTAACTAAATCCGTTAACTGCCATGGAACATACCATTTACTTACTTTAGCTCCAATTTTCTTATAGTGTAATAAGCTCTTTATCTACTAACATTACTTTCACAACCAGAAATGGCGTTCGCTTTTCCACTCTATTTAGATGCTACTTGGCGGACGAAGAAGAGAAGCTCCTTCCCCATCGACTGGACTCTTCTATTGGAAGCAGGTCGAGCCCTCCTCGTTTTTCTGTCCCGTTGTTTACTTTCCTTTTGACTTGTCGATAAAACCCACTCCTGGAGTTCGCGCCCTAACTATCCAGGCTCTGCCTTCTCATGTCATCGCCTACTCGAACCTTCTACCTGCATTCTGCTCTCGTTCACGACCCGGTACTTGTGAATTTCACCGTTCTACAGCTATTTTCCGCAAGTGCCATTAAATAGGATCTTCTGGATCTACTTATGAAGCGTTACGACAAAATCCTACTCCAATATGATTTCCGCTAAACTTGGCCGGCGACAAGCTTCTGCTTAAACTTTCATCGCGTTGTTACAAGCTGGCTAATATATTTTTGAAGCTTATAGTCAGCAAGGAAATAAACGAATGTTATCACTTCCCTAACACCTCCATACGTCTACGGCAGGCATGAATTAATTTCTGTTCTTTTATTACTGCTTGTCTGCTACAATTTTATGGAAAATTCTCCAACAGAGATATCTACGAATTTTCAACAAAATATATCCTAATATGCCTTATATGCCGTCATCTGTAATATTTCTCAAATGTATTAGATGGTGAAATTTGTATATAATACGTGAAACGACCTGATCTGAATTTGTTTACACGTCTGCTTAATGCTCTGGTATTCGATTATATAATACTAGGCCTTATTCAAACAATTGTTATTACTTCGTTCAGGGTCATCTGAGTAACCTGTATACTTTAATTCTCAACGTGCTCAGTTAAATGTCAAACTAACCGTCTTTTAGCCCTGTGTCTTTTTGACTCTATTAGGCAATCGTGGGCGAAATAATTGTAGACATGTCTATTCCTTGGGGGTCCAACCCTGTGTCTGTTTTATTACTCACAAGATCTTTGCTTGAAGGTGTGGTATTCAGGTTCATTCAGAAACTCGCCAAAAGTTTAAGAGTACCAAGATTTAAGGAAGATAATTCTAAAAAGGTGAACGCTGAGTACAATCATGGTTATTATAGTTACCTGCTATTATAGAATCCTTACCTACTTAAATAATAAAGTTACTGCCTTCACACGAAGACGAATTAGGTTAGGTTATTATCGTATTGTATCTATTGTGTGTCGTATAAAACGTAAATCGATCATTTAAACGCATTTAAGTACCCATCATTAGTCACATGGCTAACAATTAGCCTACAGCTTTTCGTACTCCGAGTGCGCGGCGACTACGTGGTAAAGGCGTTCGTTCAGTTTTATATCATTTTGACTGGACGGGGCAGCGGCAATGACATAAGGCCGCCATTTTGAGCATGAGGCCACAGGTGGCTTGTCGTGGCCTTGGGCAAGGCCACTCAGGAAGAATAGAATCATCGCGTCAGCGACGCCCTCATCTGAACGGCGAGACCTCGTTAACAGTAAATCAAACGGCACAAGGCTTAAAAAATGCTGCTGGCAAGTAGGAAGAGCTGAATGAAAGGCAAGGAAGGGGAGTAAACGAGCTGCAAGGTACTTAGTTAGACAATGACGTAAAGTAAATACACATTGAAAGAGGAAACAGCGCCACCAAGCGTGCTTTACGTCCAGCCGATACGGCCTTGCCGGCTAAATCGATAATGATTTATCACTGATGATGAATAATCCTGTTTAGCAATTGTGGACTTCTGTATTGCTGGACATTTGTAGAGGTGTTAATTCTCCATAATGTAATATTTTATATATGCAACCTCCTCAGTCGTACGTCTTTGGTGATCTTTTCCACTGACCTTCTAGAAAATGGTTGCCAGTCATTCACTGGTGAAATGAAAAATAGGAATAATGAAACGACAATACCATGACAGTCCACTACGAAAAAAACAACGTGAAATGAACAAAAAAAGTTTGTGTATATATTTCACTACGTGCGATATTTTTCTTTAAAGGTTTGTGCGATGTGATTGATATGGTTATAGAGAGACTATATCATATATATTGTTTGGGGAGTTCGTTATAGGCCGATTCGAAGAGCGGGCAGACCCGAGTCAGTCTGCGCAAGTGTTACGGAGGTGGACGTAAACTCGTCCATTGGAGCATTGGATGTGGAAACCATATTCGGTTGGATAAGTGGGGCTTGCATTTTTATCCTGTCGCTTGTAAGCCGGCCGAATATCAATTAAAAGTTACTTGTTCCTACAAGTCACAGCCTGCTAGAGCTAAAAACTGGCCATGCTAATAAAGTCAATTTCCGCATCCGTCAAGATCCAGATATCCCACATTTCACGTTCTCCCGCTACAAGCAGTAGACTGAATGTCAGCCTATTTTACCTACTTTAAATAAAAAATAAATAAGTTTTTTACCTGATGTTGTGAATAACTATAATAATTGTGCTGGATAGAAATAACCTAATTCTAATGGACCTTTTACGATATATATATATATATATATATATATATACATACATATACGTAGAGATTTATGATGAACTAAAACAAATTCTTAAGGATCGGAGCATGAACGTGTGATATTATTCTCTCGTCCCTTTTTTCGGCTTGGTTCTATCACTTAACGCAACTTGCTGCGTTATCCCGACAATCAGCTGCAGCTTACAGTTGAACCAGTGTTCATAATTTTCTTAAAGGATTAGATAAAATGGCAAAAGGTTTAAATCCAGAGTATAGAGTAACTGAGATAACAAGCATTCTAAGTATACCGGTTCAATGTCAAATATGTCTTTGGATGACTAATGCTAGTTCTATTTTTTCACGTTAAAGTTGGCCTATTTTGGTAATGCCAATTTGAATAATGATCAATTCAAGAGATGGCTGCACTTCTTAATTGTACAATGTCCGTGTGCCTCGTTCGAATTAATATCTTTAAAATATGATTAAACGTTATAGTGTCGTTACCAAAGGCAACTGTCTCAATACTCGACATTAAAGAAATATTTCACTACTGAACTTTACTTCCAGTTATAATAACACTACAGCAACGTATTTAGAGTTGATGCATTATTTTCTATAGAATATCTAATGAAATAGATATGCATACAGGTTGACTTACTTTTAACACTAAATAGTTTAATGGAGGCACAGGACGGCCGCCCTGGTGACGGACGTGGTTCTTGAGCTCTATCCCTGGCGTTATTACCAATTAGTTGTCCTTGCGTCAGCGAGGGCCACCGAAAACTGCCTCTACCGCCGCACAAATAGGCTGAGCAATCGAAAAGCTGTGAGCCACAAGTACCAGTAAAAGCCAATTCATCCGATTCCAATGGCTTAGACTGGAGGGGATAGCCTGCTGAGGGTTGGATCACCAAAAGTTTTACTCAATCTAATTAGTTACCGAAAGCGATCTATTTAACTAATACAAACTGAACAATTAGTTACTCACAAATAATGGCTGACAATAAATTACACCTTTTTATATTCCCTAATTAAATGCTTGACGCTGTTGTGTCTACCCTAGTTCTTTGATGTTCGTGATGCTACCAAGCATTGTACAGCTATAGCAAACTAGCATCCTCTTCCTTAAGGATCATTTTCTTTCCTGAAACCGCTCGTCCAAAACAGTCTATTTAAGCAAGAAACTCACGGTGCTGCGGTCGAGATGAACAATAATGTTCACACCTTTTCCCACGATTCGATATATTTGAGGTGTTATACAGAGTGTCAGCTGGTATGGATCTTATTTGATCGATCAACGTTGCGCATCGACATAACGGGATGTCCTAATCTAGTTGTTTCCATAACTTCGGAATCGTGTAAGGGAAATACTTGGAACCCAGTGTCGGATAAAGTATGTTATAGGCCACCGTTCCATCTTAGCCGCTGACACATCGTGCTGGCGCTCGCTGAGGTCACTGGAACAAAACCTATGATAGGAGCTTCAATTGATGGAGCAGCTAAATTGCTGGCTCACCTATATGAGGCTCGCTTGACCTCGTAGTAACGTTTTCGGCAATGGTCACCAGCAGTGGTTCATTTTTCGATACTACCGACGTTTTACTTACGCTATCCACATTGCTGGCCGTTCCTTTAACTTCGTCAGCTTCAGCTACGTCTGCTAGCGTTACGCTGGGCTAGTGTTTCTCTTGTCAGTATTAGCGGGGTTTGTGTTGTCGTCTGTGTCATTGTTAGCTGCGTAATTTGGTTTCTCTTCTGCACGTCCCTCGGCAGTCACGGTAGTCTCTCTCCTCCGGCCCTTACGATCCGTATTGCCAGCCATTTTTCCATAGCTAGATCTATTTTCAGTGATGTTAATGCCTTCTCAGTTAGAGTTACAGTGCTGGCTTCACCAGGCTTTATCGTTGCCAATTCTGTCACCACTTTCTCAACAGAGTAAGTTAAAGTATTTTCAGACTTCGTGCTAGGTGTGGCCTCTTCGACATGAATAGTGTCAGATAATTCAGCTGTCGTTTTTTCAGTTGCGTCTGTTAACGTTATGCGTGTGTCATCAGTTAGCGGTTGTAGTAGCGTCTACTTCGGTGAGGTTATGTTTCATTATCGGAAATTCCAGTTTCCGCTGCGCTGGTTATTGATAATACTGCAGTCATATTACCTTGAGGAATATCTGTGCAGATACAATTGACTTTAGTGTTATTAGCGGTATTTGTCTTTTTGGCTGATTCAGAAATTGAAATTTGGTTTTCAATATCGGATTTGTGAATGCGTGAGTCTCGTTGATTGTTGTCATGCGTTGAAGGACTTGTGAATGCTACGGAAAGCTCAGATTCTCCGCGATCAGGGTCAGTGTGTTGAGGAGATATCGTTAACAGTTTAGACACTAGGGTTTTAGCGGATACAATCAGAACCGTTTAAGGCGTAGGTGCCGTAGTCTTACCCAATTCGACAGTGGATAATGCATCTTGAGTGAACGTCTTTCTAGAAAGAATTGTTGTCGGCGTTGCTTCAGTCCGTGTGGCCGAGTTCGGTGTTACGGTGGTAATATCCTGACGCCTAGTTTCAGCCATCCTTCCTGATATCACAGTCAAAGTTTGAAAAGTTTTGCTTAGAGAAGCGGCTGCCGTCGACGACGTTTCCTTTTGAAGAAACCTTTTCAAGTGAAACAGCGATTCTGATCCAATATAAATCGTTAATCCTTTTGATAACCAACCTATCCAAGCGTTTGGAATTCTCGTTTGCAGAAACCAGCTGATACTGCCCGAAACGACAGTGGTGTAAAATGTAGGCATTTTACCTAAAAATCCAACACATATAGAAGGGCCAGGTGGTAAAACAAAAACGAGCATGAAGTACTGCATGGCTAGTAATAGAGATGTTCTCGGTTGTTCTTACTATATATATATATACACTATATATACTAAACTCTATCTTAAACTATAATATAAACCACTTAATGTATTGCCGCATTCTAAAAGGTCTAATATGATTCGCTAAATCGCATCAGTAGCAGGTAACACTAACTATATTCGAAGTATCAGAGGCAAAAATCTTTCATACAGGCAATAGGATATACACACGAAGTTGTTTCTTTTTTTTAAATAGTTTCGAAATTGTCATGTATTTTTTTGTTTTATTGTAAGTATACTGCCAACTATTGTATCTGTTACATCACGTTACTAACTTGTATTTTAATATCCATACTCTGTGGTATGGCTCAGAGGAACATTGCAACGCACATTCTAAAATTTTCAGCCTGAATAAGGTACAAGGCCGTCTCAGATAGCTGTTTTATTCAACCCTGGAAATTCCTCCAGTCTTATTCCCATCACAGGTTTACTACAGTGTAAAAAATGCATAAGGTAATTGTTGGCTCAGACACAGTTTCACTGAATGGACAACTGACGTTCTATGATAATGAGCGTTTCGAGTTCTGTATCCAGAATTGAGTTCGTATCGCTGTAGACGTAATAACATTGCACGACACATGCTATATAGAACATAAAAGGACAGCTACTAATTTTCTTGATATGCGTTAATAATACGTAGTCTTTCCATTGAGATTGCCGTGCCAACAACCTAGTTCATGTAAAAAGGAGCTTTTTTTTCTCTTAAAAATTTCATTTTTTTGCTGATCTTAATTACATTTTGCATACCTTACAAACCTTTACCCCATTTCTGTTCTAATTTGACTAAAATTATCACTTCTCTTGCTTAAACATTTTCGTAACGGTGTGTTCAGTCTGATACAATATGAGCAATATCTTATGCTTCATTTCGATACTCTAATCAGCTTTTTAGGGCTCACAGCTCAGCTATTTAGGGTCACAATTGTAACACAATACACCAGTTGATATCGTATAAGCGAACAAATACACTGACACCCGCCTTTGTGCGACATAGCCACAATATCATATGAATGGACCTACCTGCTTTTGTGTGGCTGGCAATCCTCCATTTATGCTGCACGCACCGCTTGTCACGACTTCGTAGATAAATGCAGAGCTCCGTACGTACTTGCTTACACGTTCGGCCGTTGCACGTGTCGAATAACGTTTTCCGGTCTTCTTTTATTTCACACGATGACGTCTTGGCACGGTTCTGATAAGTAGCATCCCTTATATCACCTTCCTAATCACATCCTGATCTCGTTGGTGCGGCCTGAGGTACGGTCGATAAAAAAATGCCTCATGGCTAGGGTACTGGGAAGTCAGCAGGAGCGGTCTGTAGCAAATGTGGCAAAGTTACGCAATAAATTCCTATTTAGCAACAATAATCGAGAATTATCTCGAGTTTCTGTTCGTTCGAAATTATCATCTGCCTTTTCCTGTCCATCAGTGGAATCACCTCAATAACATCAGAGAGATAATTATATGTTAGAAAACAAATATTGCGTGTTGCTAGCTAGCCCTTCTCCTTTAGCTTATACACGTAAAACAGGCAATGATGGTTAGTTAATGTACTTGCAGTTCACCTACATGAATATTAAATAGCTCATCATGCGTGAACTGTTGGGATCACTTGAAGTTCTATTATGATTAACGGTCATCTTATCCCTCTGCACGGGTCAACTATTATTGAGCAACAGGATACTTTTACGAGAAGCTATATAGCAGTTAACGTGTGAACAAAAGCCAAAGCCGTTAAGGAGGTGGTCATGGACAGTAAAAAATAAGGTTTATGAGGAACAATACGAGGTGCCCGGCACTGTAGTTAGCGGCTGCCGCCGTCTATGAGCCATCCGGCGGCCAGACGGCTTCTACTGTAGGAAAGACGGCAAATAATTCGTGACCACTGCGGGTATTTTACTCCGCCTTACTTTGGAGAAGAGGCCGTCATTTATGGGCACCATTGCCTCTTTCGAATCCCCCATTTCCGCCATGATTGACTCATGGACGGCTGTGTAAAGCATGGCTCAGTGAATAATTGATATCTTTTTTTGCGTCCTTTAGTGTCTCCTTCTGCTGAACACAATTGCCTATTTGCTTTGCATGAACAAGTCTTTGAAATCACTTCTCCTTCATTAGGATAGTGTCAAAGACTTGCCCCCATCGAAAGGATAGATCCAGATAGTCTATCACATGGCGTTATCTTTAACAGGCTTATGAAATGGCACAGTAGCTCCTTAGTACCGTCAAAATTCCTAGTTTTTCTTTTGCTGATGGTTAATTGTTATAAGTCCTTGCTTTGCCAGGTGTTAATATTGTTTTGTTTGGCTTGCGGAATTTTCCATTGACTTTGGGCTTTAATAATAAGCATATTAATTAAAACTGAAACTAAGTTTAGCAGCTTTTTGAATTTTGCCGATTTCAAAAATTACTTAACCAACTTAGTCGTTTCGCGTACTCTACGTCTAAGGAATATACGCCCACGGATGGTCATCGACGAAAAATATATGAATCTAATTCATTGCCAGTTTATTTCGGTGGCTTTTTAACGTCAATAAAAGACGAATAACGTTCGTCAAAAATGATGTTGTTTGCCAATCGACACATCTTGGTTTGGAGCCCGAAATTGGGGGTGCTCCCTATGATCTGGACAAGCTCCTATGTATATATATATGCAATACTATCAGAAAACGAAAAACTTAAAGTAATTAATAAAAGATGACAAACAAATGTTATTTGAGAATATCTAGTTTTGTTGTTTAAGCAGAATAGAACTATAAAAAGTATGTTTTTTGAATGTCACCTGCTACAATTTTGTAACCAGACATGGAAGCACACTCCTTATCTAACATAAATGGCAAAATGGAAAACTTAAATTTGGAATAACAAATTTTGGCAAAAGTTTTAGTCTATCGACTTAAGTATCGATCATAACGTTCCCTTAATATGTTACAATGACAGCTATGTATGAATATACAGACCAAGCATCCGTCGCAATTGCATTTTTTTTTTTACAGTGCATGATGCAAACCGCAATGGAAAACGCGAGAAAATTAGTGAAGGTTTTTGCTATTTATTATTGCGACCGCATCATGGAGATGAATCATTGTGTCTCATGAAGGGCTCAGCTATTTCAAGGTGTCATTATTTGATGTCGACAAACATATTGGCATCTCTGCATTTGTCAAATATCCGTCGTCGGTCGCATCTCTTCATTCAGCCAATAATAATTCTAGATGGAAGAGCCGTCTTCTAGCCGCCCTTTGCTTCAACGCCGCTGACCTGCTACCTAACGCCGCTATCGGTACGGATAGTCACAACAAAGGTGGTCTACCCCTGTCGTGCATCTGACGGTTGGGCTCTATATACATATACTCTCACATGTCTTGTATAGCTCTCTTTAATTTGATGTTTATTTAATCTCGCATGAGGTAATAATCAGCGCGGCATACATACCACATATACTTACACATACTTTTATGTATGTGTATCTGTACGCCTATGAATAAACACTCTGGCTTGTTGTTCTTACAACTTTAAATTACTTTCTAAGAAATTCAGCATAGCCTCGCATTTAACTCAATCCCACATTCCGTTTTTCTTCCATAAATATGCGGTATATGGCATAAAAGCTATTTAATCCAGAGCGAACAGGACGATGTCGTCTGTGTGGAAGTCTCATTCTGCCATGAGGGATTTGCAGCAGTTGAAAGCACTCCCTGAGTTAGGTGTCCGTCAAATTGGCTGGCGAATTTTGCAGAGCGGGCTGCTTTCGAACTACTGCACTGTTTGAGTCATGGCTAATGAATTACACCGAATTAGTCCCATCACTATGCTGCAATGTCGTTGATGTCGTAAGGTTCGGGTGGTCATCGTTTGCAATTCAGTGTGACGCCATCCTCATCATCGGGTTAATGACTGTAACACTGACCAGAACAAGATCTCGACTGGCCTCAGACAGGAGGCAGCAAGACAGATTGGCTAGCATGTAAGCTATATACCTGAATTAGGTAGACACCACGCTCATTAAGGGCGAAATCACCAGCAGACATATTCAAGAAACCTGAAGCTATTCCATTGCGTCAAGTGATGCATTGATTTAACATTGTGAGCTCCCCACCCGCTCGTAAATTCCAATATTAAGCCAATTACACAACGTATGAGTGCTTTGATTATACGCATAAAATGAGACTTTCTATATGACTTTGCACATGTTGTTAGTAAGCTATAGTCATCCCAGCGCGTTAATCTCTCCAATTGCTCTGCACTATTTTCCGTCACGTTGAAATAGAGCATTGAAAAATTTTTCCGCTATTCATCCGTCACACTGCAAGTCCCTAAACCTTGTGATCTTTCTACCACAGGCCGCGCTCTATTAACCCCTAATTCATAGCTCCTGTCGTTTGAACCTTGCGAGGCAGGATATTAATGTAATTTGGCTTGAGATTGATGATGAAAAACAGGCTAACTTCAAAACGTTTTGTCATGTTGTTATAGAATCAGATTTCAGCTTTAAAATTTGCTAGCAGCGTTGCATTTGTTTCTTTGTGGAATTTGTCATGTCATCATCTCCGATGCTAACGCTCCCCTGTTGAACCAATTCAAAAACGTTGGCGTAACACAATCTTGATCTTGTATTCGGAGGATCGCCAACGTTGTCCGTCGCCTGGAATTACTTCATCAGTGCCAGTATCGAGCAAACGCACTCACTATGAGCTTCAATCTGGCCCAATTACCTGAGTTCGCACCCTCCTGTGATTCGTGATGCATTTTGCAGTACTATTTGTACTAATGGTCGAATTCTCAATTAATGGATGTGGTTCTCCTATCTGTATCTACTTAGGTGCTACATCCAAAGTTGAAGGTACGAAAAACCGTAAATACTCAAATCGAGGTTGAACCAAAGAAAGAAGCCCTGGCGAAGCCCTCGGAGTAATGTAGTTTGTCTTTTCATCACTCATGTTCAACCACAAACTGTGATAGCAGTGCTGCCATATCCAGTGTTTTTATCATTAGGCTATAATCATCCTACATTGCAAGTTGTTTGTCAATAAAAGCTAATAGTGAACAAGCCATCTATGACGTGTCCTAAATAACTCGGCTGTGATAATATATGCACAGACTGAACCACCATGCATATGACTATCAAATTGAGTGATTCTACAAGTACTTCGATTTCATAACTCAGTGTTTATAGATAGCACTCAATGTGCACCAAAGGCGGAATAGTGTTAAACGATTAGAAGATAGGAAAGTCTAAACTTGATAGATACTCTTATTTTCTGACGAAGCAATCGCAGCTTGATGCGATTGGTATAATCAAAATCAAAGTATTCACCACTCTTCGCCATCTCATGATCAAAAGAAGCATGATATAGTAAAAGGTAAGATTCAGGACTGAGGGCTCTTTGCTCGTCGTATAAGAACCTCTGCTCCAGGACACCTAAACTAGGTGCGCAAGCTAGGCCGTGGAAGAAGCTTTTAGGTTTGCCGCGCATGAAGGGTGTAGTCGAGCAACTTGCCCTGCCGTGCGGAAACGATCACGGGAGAAAACAGCCACTACAAGGGATCGAGATGTTATGAGAGCAAAGACAGCCTCTAACAGGGTACAGGAAGCCAATTAGGCAAACACCTTTCCCCCTAGAATGAAAAGTTCGCCTTTTTCTGTAGAGCGTAATGTTAATTTGGTTAGTGCTAAACCCACGGAAGATTTCTTCCTCATTTTCAATCCTTGAAAACAACGCGTGTCCAAAATGATCACCAGCATTTTCTGCGTCGAGTGTGAGAACTGTATTGCACGAAAAAGTGCATTCGACTTGTGTTGTATGACAAACCGTATTAGAACTATATCGTGAAAGGAGTTATCAGTCTATTATGTTTACAGCTCAATAAATAGACGTCCCAGACAATACGACGATGGCAAAAACCGCGGTCGAAAAGGATCGAGACGCTTAGAGAGTAAACAAAACCTACGAGAGATCCTACTACAATACGCAAATTATCGACGTAGCACCACTGCCGACAGCCGTTGGTAATACAGAACAGACCAACACAAACACCTCAGCAAATGTCGTATAATAAATATATGTAAATAAAAAGTATGTATAATTAATTAAATTTTCCGTAAAGCTAAAAAAAATATGGCAAATTTCTGTTATACCAATTAGATACCAATTAAATGATGAAAGACTGCCTAAAGAGCTAGACAGAAACAATTCAGCCTCATTCAGTACAAGCCTTTCAAAAGAAAATATAGGATAATACGGTTGACTTTGATGATTTCATTTGGTATTACTGGGAAGTGTCGTACTTCTAAAGGAGCTTAAATCTCGCAATAATTACATTGTTCAGTGCTATAATCGGATTACTGATGCCATGGCACGACTGGAAACCACGCACACCACCATATAGAAGACCGCCTAAGAATTCTGAATCGTGCAAAATCTCGTGTTACTGTTTACGAATCAGAAAGCGGATCACTTAAGAACAAGCTTCACGTTCGACATCAAACAACAGCCTAGCAGTACATTAGAAGGCGCACGTGTCATCGTTCTGATCGATGGTCATCAGGAAGCATAAAAAACCATGCAATTCCTTCGTACAACCGAAACGAGAATGACTGTTTGAGATGCGACAAGGTCAGGTATAACATAGGCATACGCTACCGAGACAATCCAAACAGATGGAATGAATGGCTGTTTGCTTCAGATCATTTTCAAATCTCATCGACTTTGACTGCTTACAGTATGTAATACAATTCCTATTCGGTGAACATGGTTTGCGTCGCGAGCTACGCGTAACAGCACGACGATATTATGCACACT